TATCAGCCACCTGTGCGGGGACAGTTCTTTGTAAGGAGCCTCGGCTGTGTGCTGGTGGTGTGGGTGCGGGGATGGAGGGTGGAAGTCTTCCCTACTGTTGGTTGTGAGAAGGGGAGGCAAAAGAGGAGACTTTAAAGCTGGTCCCATCTGCAAACCTCTGCCCCTAAGCTGGAAGGTGGATTCTGCCTTCTGCAATGTCCCAGCTCCCACTCAGGGAAATGGGAAGATTTTGTCCATGAGGAACAAGCCTGAGCTGGCCAGGCTCCCAAGTGCAAGCAGAAACCCAAAATCTTGTCCATGACCTCCCAGTGTTGTAGACTGTCAGGTGGATGCAGAACCACAGAGATCACGTGGAAATTTGTCCCCAGGCAGAGGGTCTGTTGGGTCAGGCTTTACTCTAAGATCTGGCCCAAGAGGTTGCAGTGAGATGTTCTGCCACAGGCTCAGCCAGCCCTCCTAATCTGATACCCCACTCGTCCGAGGCAGGGATGGCAGTGCTGACCCCAAGCCCAGAGGTCTGTGAGAAGAGGCCTTCCTTTTGGTGAGGAGGGAGATGTAGTTTTTACCATCACCCTTCTTCCCCAGGCCTTTTCTGGGTTCTACTACACCTTCTCCTTCCTGAACCTGACCAGCCAGCAGTCTCTAAGCCATGTCAATGCCACAGTCTGGGACTTCTGCAACAAGAACTGGTCCAAGGTGAGAGCCTTGTAAAGGGCATCAAGGAGCCCTCTGCCTGTCCTCTCCCAAATCCCTGCCCAGAAAGCACATGCTCTGCTGTTCTCTGGGCCATGAAGGGTTCTGTTCCTTATTATATTGTGTCCATCGATGACTCTGAAGCTGGTGGAGACCTTCCCAGAGAATAAGGAGCACCTACACACATACTGCGTGGTGGGACTTTACATCTTGACATTGCTGGTCGATGGCTATAAGTTTGATGAGCACACATGGAGCAACATCCACTTCAGCCAGAAGGTAAAAAAAAAGCCTTGTGGGGCAGAGGGAACAGGCAGGCAGGCAGCCACATCCTTGCCCTGGCCCAAGGTCACAATGCTTTGCAGGAGGCTGGACTCGATCTCTACAATCCCTACAGCTCTGTGATTCAGGAGCACCATCCCTGGAATCTCCTGCACCAGAAATGTGTCCTTGCCTCACGTCTGTCATCTGGGGATCCCAGTACAGCTTCAGTCCTGCCTGCCTCCAAACCACTGACCCAGCTCTTATGTACTCTGATGGAAACATAAGCTAATTTCAAGGGAGTGAGAGAAGTGCAGGCAAGATTCAGCCACTTTGATCACTAATGCTGTGCTGAAATCACATAAACATCAGAGAAGTGATGGTGGCCCCATGAGCCATGTGAACCAGAATTAATCAAATTTGAAGGATTTTAGGGGAGGAAAACACAGGTCACAGAGGCACATCTGCACAACAGCAGCTGCCCTTTAAGCCCTTGGGAAAGGGGAAAGCAAAGGGGCCTGTGTAACTGGCACTGGTAGGACCGGGTTTGCCACAGTCCCTTGCACTAAAGCCACCGCTGCCTCAGGGAGGCACGTTCTGATGATCTCCTGTGTTCTGTCACCTCAGGCAGGAAACACAGATATTGGCTGGACGCTGGGCTTCATGCTGAACCTCACCAACATGATCCCCACGGAGGCTCTGGAACTCGTCAAGGGGCAGCAGCCCAGTCTGTGGGCAGGAGCCATCTCCTTCATTGTGCTGGCTATAGTTACAGGCCTGGTGGCAATTCTCCTCCAGTGTTTCTGGAAATCCAAGTAGCCCCAGGTATCAAGCCTAGGGGCACCCTGCCTTCTAAACCAGGCAGGGAGAGTGGTGCAAGAAAAGGTGGAAGCAAGAGAGGGAAGAAGGCATTAAGCCCCACCTCCACTGCGCATGAAGTCTTCTTGAGCCACGTCTGTAAAGACATCAAAGGCATCTGGAGCTCCCTACAAATCTCAACGAGGAAATGATGCCAGAAACCACTTAGATCTGGCTGACAAAGGCCAAACTGAGATGTGGCGGCCATATAAACTCAAGCTAGAAATAAAACCCTTTTTGTTTTTCAAAACCAGCCTAGCAGAGCTTCCATCCCTTGGCACTTCCACTCCTGCTGGGTTGGCTCTCCCAGCTGTAGCTGTGGAAGGCAATGGGTGCTGGAGAGCAGTGGTCGCCACCTACGCTCTGAGGAGAGGACTGACATTTTCTGTATCCTGTCTTGTATAAAATGTGCAAGATTTTTGCAGTATGTGGTAGAATATCTTTCCAAGGACAGACTGTCAGCTGTCTTTAAGATATTTACTGGCATATCTCAGCAAAAAAAAATACAATTGGAACTTGATTTAAGAGCTGCCAACTCTGCTCCGTGTTTATTTCATATTCAAGTTATATACTCCAGCTTTGTCAGACACTAAATCCATAGCAGGCTCCAGCTCCAGGCACTTGACTGTTTTATCTACATCAGCAGAGCCCAGCACAGCTCAGCTGCAGGAACCAGACAGTCCTCTCAGTCCTTCCAGCTCCAGCCACCGGGTCAGCACTGCAGTGCCCAGCCTGCCCTCTGCACAGACCCTCCAAGCCTCTGCCAGAGCCCCTGGCTGGTGTGAGCAGAGGTGTCTCCACAGTTGCCTCTCTTTGCTGTCCACGGAGCTGACCCCTGTCCACACAGCAAGAAGCAGGAAAATCCAGGCAGGACTGCTTAGGGGCTTGAGAAAAGAACCAATGGCATCTGGGCTGAGAAAGGATCAGAGCTCTTTGGCTCTTTCAGATCCACAGGGTATTCACTGTGTGAAGATGATACATGATGGTCCTAACCATCATGGAGAGGGAGTAAACTCCCCTGTCCAAAGGAACCTTTTCCCACCCTGCAGTGTGAGTTTCTGAGCTCTGGCACATGGACATTTCCTGTAGCCAAACACAGACTCCTCCCTTCTCTCTGCCCTATACAAGAACATCTTTGGCAGTGGAAGCACAGAGGTAAAAATGTCAGGTCTGGGAACAGGCTGCAGGAAATGCTGCCAAGTGACTGCTGGAACAGACCTCATGGGATCTGTCAGTGCAGGACATCTGTTCAGGTTGAGCAGAGCTCCTGTCTGGGCCAGCCATGTCCAGATGAGCTGGTATTGGTGTCTCCTACCCCTGGCAGATGGGACTGATGGCAGCGGGCTCCTCATGTGGTCAGGCAGAAGGCTCCTGTTCCCTATGGGAAGGCAGCACAACTGGTCTGGGTTGCAAAGCATTTAGGAAAGATGCCAGTCTTGCCATTGCAGTGTCCTTCAAGCCAGTCCTTGTTCACTGAGAAAACAAGAAGAATCAAGATAAGCTCTAGCTCATAGGAGCAAGGTTAATGAGTTTTCATGGCTCAACGTTAACTCTGGTCTACACCTCCTGTTGTCACAAACTTGAAACAGCACTGGAAAAGCCATCCACTCCTCTGTCACACTTTACATCAGAGTCTTTCAGAGAGCCTGTAGATAAGACTGGAGAACTACCTTCAGAGAGAATATCCAGCACATCCCCCTTGCTGAACTCCAGGTCTCCTGGTCCCTGTGCTGGGTATGAGTGCTGAGCCAGCATCCGGTAGAGGATGGGTCTGCCTGAGTGGGAGCCCGAGTCCTACAGCAGAAAATCAGCATGAAGGTTGCAAGGAAAAGCAGAGACAAGATTAGAGCCCAGCACAGCAGAGATGCTTGTCACAGCCCACGTACCTGGCAGCAGAGTGTGATCCTGCCATCTGTCAGCTGCTGCCACATCTTCCCTAGATCTTCCTCTCCTGAAACTGCACCTAGTTCTTTGCCATCCAAATGCCTGTAGCTGTAAGGATGCATTAACATGACTCCAATCATATGATCTAAAGACAAAAATTTAGGCAAATCTAGCCCTCTACAATCTTCAATCTGCAAAGCTCTCCTTGTAAACCAGCTCCAAGCTTGTCACCTTGTGCAATGACAAGGGGCCACCTTGCATGCTCAGTGGGCACAAATGGCACTGCTGGGGAGGGTCTTGCCTCCTTGGACACTTGAGAGGTAGGTCTGAATCTCTCATATCTGTACCAACTGTGAGTCCCCAAGGAGGTCACGGTCCAGGATACCCACCCCAGAGCTAGCTAACACTGGACTCCCAGATTGCTCTGCATTGATTCCAGCGTGTCTTTAAGGCTGGGCATAAGAAAATTCAATACACAGCAGCTGCATCTGTACAAAGCTTTTCCTTCTGTTCCCTTTTTTCTTGACTATGGCACAGTTTCCTTGGAAAGATCCTCCAGGTCTCCAAAGCCTGTGGATCACACGCTGTTCCCCATCTACCAGACTGCTTTGGCCCCGGAGACCAGACACAGTCAGATAGATGCCTGTGTCCTCAGGAAATCACTGCTGCCATACGCTGCAAGGGCAGGGTGCACAATGAGTGCTGGAGGACACCATACCTCAGCCTCCCACGCTCTGCCTGCTGGCCAAAACGCTCCCGGAGCAGCGCCCGCAGCGCCGGCACGGAGGGCACCTCGCCTGGCCTCACCACCACCGTGCACTCACAGAGCACCCGTAGCACAGCTGGTCTGTCCGTGCTGGACGAAGCATCTCTGTGGGTGAGCGGGATCTGTGAGAGATGTGGCAACACAGACAGCCTGGTTATTCAGGGAGCTCTTATCACGAGAGCTGGCAGACGTGGGATCTTGCTTCAGTGCTGCCGCAGTGACAGTGAAACATCAAAATGAAGATTTGAGTTTTAGAGAGGGAAAATGTCAGGTCAAAGCCTAGGTTCAAATGTTCCTGCCATGACCCACGAAGCCAGTTTCCGGCTCAGATGAAAAAAAACAGCCTCTAAATGTAAACCTGTATGAGCCGAGCCCCAAGTCCTCCACATAACTGGAGAGGTGCAGCCAGGTCCTGCTCCTTTCTGTCAGAAATACGGCTCCAAAACAAGACCCCCAAATCCCTGCAAACACGGGCAGCAAAGACAAAGGGATAAGAGCTGATCTGCCCCTGGCACTGCTAGAGAGGTGCTGACCCCAAGTGGACACAAAGGCAGTTCCAGCTCCACCACACATCGGCTGGCAATGTCACGGAGCTGCATTGGATGGTATTATCCCAGAAGAAAGCTACTATGGATGTTTGAATTATCATCATAAGCAGACTGACAAGGACAGAAAATGTTACACGGGAGGAGGGGACAAGGGATAGCAGGTAGTTCAAAGGCAAAATGGCTGCAAACTGGGCACTGCTGTGCCTGGGGCTTTTGGCTCCAGGAGGATGGCAAAAGAGCTCTGACCTGAGAAACCTCAACTTTGGGGCTGCCTCACGAAGCTGTAGGGTCATGAAATCAGGAGTGATGGAGGAAAGGCCCCATGGGCTCTCTGTGGAAAGGAAAAATGGGCAGAGGAAGAGGTGGTTTTTTTTCCAGTGATTTTGGGACAGTTCAGGAGTTTTGAAGCACCTGGCCATCATCTGACCCCTTGTGCTTTTTATATCCTTCATTTCCTAAAGCAGTGGTAGCTTCAGTTTGTTAAACACCTTACTTCAAAATCCACTGGGGATCCAGAATCATTTGCAGAAACATTTTCTTCCCCGGGAGATTCTGCAGAATGAGAACACAAAAACAGCACCTGCAGTCAGCATAGGTCCCACACAGCACTTCTGCAACCCACCAGCACACAGGCAGCCACTGCTTCAGAGGGCAGCAACCTCCCCATGCACCCTAAAGCCCCTTTGGGCACAGAAGCTTCACAGAACACCCACGGAGGTCCTTGGCCCACAAGAGGTACCTGGTGTCTGCTTCACATGGAGCCGGCTGGGAGGCACCTGGGCAGGAGGGAGAGGAATCCCATCGCTGATCTTCTGCAACAGAACAGTGCAAGAAAGGTGTGAGCAGAAGACACTGGAGAGTGGGCAGGGACAGTGTTCAGGTCAGAGGCTGCAACAGATCATAAATTTTCCCAGGGAGATCAGTTCATGAAGCAAATGCCCAAGTGAGTGTTATGGCCAGGGATTCACATGGAGGAAAAGAATCATAGCAGAATTAAAACAAAAATCTCTTGTGTGGACCTAGTGCAATGTGTTATACACGTTGCAGCATTGGGTTCAGACTGGAGAAGGACTGGGATCATGTGTGAAGATGCCTATGAAGGAGATGGGAGATGAAGAAAGATTTCCCTGAGTCAAAGGTGAGGATTGAGGACTTAGGCACATGGCCTCCATGCAAAAACATGTGTCTGTCTGGAATATTTCTGTCCCACTGCAGATTTCCCTGCTCTGTGCTGGTGAACTAGAACATATGAGCACTCCTCACCCATTTCTGTGCTGTCTGATGGCTGTAGGGAGCAGGCTGGCCAATTACATGCTGCCTGCCCTCACAATTATTGTGACGACGTGACAGCTGGTCATGAGAGCTGTGGCAGCTACTCATGTTTGTGTGCTCCATCAGCCCCAGTAAATAAGAGATAACAACACCTAGATCAGCCTGTGATGTGAGACACTGAGGCCTGGGCATGCATCTACACTTTGCCATACAGAGATCAGATGTACAGAAACTAACAAGCATTTTTCCTGCTCCTAACCCTTCTGTTGTTCAAGAGCACTCAGTCTTTGCTCAAGATGTCTGAGCTCAAACACTCTGCTTGCCTTACGCTACCATTCTGTCCCGTGATAGTCTTACAAACAAAAGTTCTGAATGTATATTTCTCAGTCATTTCCTCTTCCCTTGGGTTGCAAGGCTGTTAGCTCACCCATTTATCCATCTTTGAGGCAGGCTCCAGGATAGAGGTCGGTATGTGCAGCTTCTGTGGGACAAAAAGCAAATCATTGAGACAGGAGCTGCTGCTGCGGGAGCTCCAGCCTACCTAGCTCCATCTTCTGTTAGCCCCAGTTACACTGCTTGTGCCCTTACAAAGCATCACCTGATTGCAATACTAACATGCCCACAGCAGGTCAAGCAACAGGCAGCATTAAAAAAAGGTTTGTTCCCAGAAATTGCTGAAAAACATCCAGCAGTCCTTTTGCATCATTTTCTGCCAAAAGCAGTTTTAGTAATCGAGTGGCTGTGGAGTGACAGACTGAATACCCACCAGGCCCAACACCCTGCTCCTCAAACAGATGCTTAGGGAGAGAAGCAACAATCTTGAGAGCTACCAGCCCAGCAGTGCTCTTTGTCTGCCAACAATCTCTCCTACAGAGCTATTCATTTCAACTGATCATTGTGAATAATTACTTTTTTTTTTTTTCTTTCCAGTGTGTGCAATGTTTAATTCCTCTTTTCTTTGATATTCATCTGACTTTATTGACTAAACAAGCACATTCAGATCCTTCTGCAGCTCCAGGTCTGTGCTTCACAGAATCACAGAACTGTACGGGTTGGAAGGGACCTCCAGAGACCATCGAGTCCAACCCCCTGCCAAAGCAGGCCATGTTGAATGGTTTGACTGTCATGAAACATTACTGCCTTAAGAAACACACTGCACTGCTGTCACTGTACCACCTAGGAATCTGCTAAAGGACAGATCCTGTTAGGATGCCCTTTCTTAAAAACAAACAATTAATTTATGTCCACCTTTCAATTCTCTCCTGATCTGTTATCAGTCCTCAAAGCATAGTCTCTCTTGCTTAACCAGCTCAAGCTATCTTTAGTGGTTTTGTGTAGAATTTTTTATTAATTTAAAAGCAGGTAAATATACTCTCTGGCTGAAGGTATTCCAGCTGTGCACTGACTCTTTCAAATAACTTAATTACACATGAGAAGCCATCAAAAGACTTTTCCATGTTGTATCTGTTTGTATTCCACCTACTTGCCAATTCTATCTAGTTAAGGACCAAGCTCCCTCTTTGGCTCTGTTAGAGCTCTCAGGTGACAAATGCTGCTCTATACTGTAATCCTTTGGGAGGTCTACGATCCTACCTGATTCCATCATAGGATCCCAAAGTGGAGAGCACAAGGTGCCCAAAAGGACACTCCTGTGGAGCTACAGAGGTGAAGAGGAGAAGCTGGGGAGAGCCAAGAGTCAGAGACATCACATCCGCAGTTAGCAACTGCTCTGTGGAAATGAGCTCAGCTCTTCAGTGCTACAGGTGGGTCCTCAGAGAACACACTCAGAGGGCTGCATTGAGCTCCTGTTTGCAGGCAGGACTGTGGTCTCTGCTGGAAATCCCATCTGTTTTCTTTACCTGCCCATCATGTATGGCTGTGGCCCAGCCATCTGCTCCTCTTGCCAGCACAAAGACCAGGCTGCTGGCTTTCACTGCCAAGTTCTCCATTCCCTCAGGGTAATAATGGGACAAAACTCGATAGTAGCCTGATTCACGGTCTCTGGAAAGAAAGAATGAGAATAAGGATAAACATCTTCCAGATCAAAGCAGTGTCTGAATTCAGCTTTGAATTTCTGTTGTTACATTATCACCAGAGCAATCGATTTTCATGTTTTTTCAACTAGTTAGTGAATACTTGGGAACTTTGTACTGAGAACCAGATCTGGACTGCTGAGCATCCTCTGCCACTGACCTGGCAGATCCTCAGCCTCCCTCTGCCTCCATTTCCCCGCCAGAATATGATCTTTGCCTGTATCCTAAGATCACTGAATCAATTCCTGCAAACTGTCCCGATATCTCTGTACAAGAGCTGCTACTGAACTGCCACTCTCTTGCCAGGTGCAGTGTTTCTTGCAGCCACACAAGCCTTTTGTATTCAACATTCATTCCACCCCTGGGGACAGGTGGGGGTGAATCACAAAGAGTCCCCAAACAGAGACATGGGAAAACAAAACATGATTTTTTGAACAGAAATAGTGAGAGAAGGGTTAGACCAGGGTAGAATTGAACACATACCTCACAGCATCAGCACTGGGTTCATAAAAGCCCTGTTTCTGTGGGAGGACAACAGCATATATTTATAACAGTATGTTACACAGCAACATTACCGCCTTATTTACTGTCCCTATGAATAGGAGGGAGCTTCACATATGGTACTTTCTGTAATCCCTGTTTGTCACACCACAATATCCAGAGAGAAGTCTGCTGCTCCACACCTTGCCAGGATGAACCTGCCACTTCTCCCTCCCCCTCTTTATCCATCATGAGCAGAGTAACAAACCACTGACTCCAAGACACTCACATAACTGCAAACCAGCTATGTCTGTGCTGACAAACTTAGCAAAGTGAATTTACAAATGCGTGTTGAGTGCAGTGAAATCTCCGCTGCTCTTTGGACACAGTGAAGAGACAAAAACACATCATCCAAGGGTTGGAGACTCATTCTGCCAAGTCCTTCCCAGTCAACATCAAAGCACTCCAGCTGGCTCTGAAAGCCCTCTGGATCTGGTCTTCAGAGACACAATCAGCACTGTTTTTTCATTAATATGCTCCTACACTGATGGTGTCCTAACCATCAGCGACGGTTAGATCAGACCACTGATCTGAGGATCCCACTGATGTGGGAGCTCCATGACTGCTCCGTTCCATTTTTCACAGCAATGTCCTGCTCACCTGTGGCCTGAGAGGTTCAAAGCCAATGTACTCATCATTGGGAATGATGGATGAGATCACCTGTGGGAGGAAAAAATAACGACTTAATCTAGGCTGGATGAAGAGATGCTCAAACTTCCTGTGAGACTTTCACCCAGACCCACTTCCTTCTGACATCCCAAGTGGTCAGGCTTAAAGCAGAGCAATGCATTTAGTGGAAAATGCAGCTTCAACAGTTTTTGTCCATGTATTTTCCATCTTTACAAAGCCCTCCAAAAGTATGAGTGGATTATTTTCCCTTTCCTTTGTTCATGAAGGAGCGATCTGGTCTGTGGCACTTCTGCTGACTGCGCTGGTCATGGAAGGGACTGGAAGAATTCTCTGCTGGTTTGCATTAAAGTACATGGCAAAGCATTTTTCTCCAGAGTGCATGTTTGTCCCATTGGGAATGCAGTAACAAATAGGAGGAATGTGCTCCTTTGAAAATGTTGTCGTCAGCAAAATGATAGCCACAGGGATTTGTAAGCACCTGCTCAGTTGTGGTTGGTGGTTTTTTTCTAGTTTAAAGTGATTAAGATTGGGAAGGATTTTAGCAGCAATGTGCATTTTTAATAGATAAGGTGTCACTTCTAACAGATTTTGGCTTGTGTGTCCCAGATGCCTTGACTGAGAGTCCTGCCACTGGGTCTCCACCAGTGCAGTGATTGGAGTGGGCAGCAGTAATGCTCTCTGCAGATGTCAGAAGGTGGGGTGTTAATCCGTTTGTTGTTTATCTTAATCATCACATGCCTGTTACCTTGGGTTTACCCAGGAAATCTTTTGAATCCAGCTGTTCAACTTCCTTCTTCCGTGGTCTGAAAAATTCACCAAGGGGAACCTGCATGGGCTCTAAGAATAGATGATTCTAGGGCGTGGGAAGAAGATAAAGGAAAAGCCATCAGTTAATATTAAATGAAACACAGCAGCAGTGAAAAGCAAATATAGCTTCTGTGTGTGAGAGAGATCAGCTCCAGGAAGACATCGGGGCAAAAAATAAAGCTGTGAACTTGATAAAGGTCACTAAGTTTTAACAAGCACATGAAAAATAAAAGCCCAGCAGCCACTGCCTAATACTGAGTCAAAGGCTGACTGTCAGCATAGGAGGGGTGGGAAGGGAAGGCAGTGGAGTAAAGTCTGTTAAACAAATCTCTAAATTTCTCTAGTTGATTTCCAGTATTTTGTTTGGTCTGTCTGTGCAACAGCTGAGGAGCACGTAAATAGTGAATATAAATCATATACTAATGTAAAGCACAAACACAATGCTGGATGAGATGATTAGATTAATAAAGTGACTACTCTTTAGAAAGGAGATAAACAAAACAAGGAAGTATGGAGGCAACAAAATAATGAACCCTCCAGGGAAAGTAAAGCAGATACCTGTAAGTCGTTCCTGATCATAAAAGAGTCTTAACAGGAAACTACTGTGTAGAATCATCTCCATAAACACGCTTGCACTTTACTTAAGCTCTAAACATGATTGTCGTTAATGTCTGAGCTGCTTCTAATTGTCACCAACGCCAAAGGGACTAAAGACGTCTGCCAGCTTTGTGAAAAGTGAGACTCTCCAAATCTGCATTTAAACACTCCATGAGGCAACTTGTTTCACAGTGCAAGTGTGAATACAACTGAGCTCCTGAACATCAGGGTCTAGAAAGTACTGCCTTAACAATTCCCAGCTCTGGTGCTCCTATGCTATGAAGCTCCTGGAGGTGACAGGTTAGCTGCAGCCTGGTAGAGCATCACACAGAAATTGCTCAGTGTCATCAGGTGACCAAACCGGTGGGTAGACAGGAAAACCCAAAGACATAAAACACTGCATATTCTTATCTCGGGTTCCTCAGCCTGAGCCCAAAGCACTTTCCCAGGAACCCAGAGAGGCAGTCTTACCTGCACTCGCTCAAGGGCCAGGGCCAGCGTTGCTGATCTTCCTTCAGGTCTCCACACGACGGCCTTCTCTAGGGTCTCTTTGGCCTCCTGCCACTGCTGCAGCCGGCACTGTGTGGCAGCAGTGCTGTACAGCACCTGAGGCCAGCAAGGAGGGAGCAGAGCTGTCTTCCTGCTGCTCAGAGGGCAGCAGCTGAGCTGACACCCAGTGCTACCAACTGGGCTCAGCCAGACAAGGGAGACCTGGCACTGAACCACCACGGAAACGGCAGCAGCAAGAGCCTGCTCCCCACTGACCACAGGAAGGGCACTGTGAGGAGCACAGCTGAGAAAACTTCATAATCAGAGTGGAAAGAGATCAAAGCTGTGCTTTCAGCTGGCACTGCCAGTTCTGTTCAAAGCATGGACAGGCATGGGGAAGAACAGATGAAGACTGTGTTACCAAACAGGTTTTCATCTTATTCTTCCTGTGTCTAAAAGGCTATTAAGGCAAACTGTATGGGTTTCTTTCTATATGAAACTAGGTAATCTTTTTTGCTGCACAGAACTATTCTGATTCTCTTTCACTTTGGAATACCCTAACTGAAATTGCTGCCCTTTGCAGTGGGCTCTGAAGGTGCAGGTTGGCAGCTGTAGCTTGCTGCCCAGCACATGAATACACTCTTTGAAGAGACAGTGTGAGAGTACTAGAGACTGGGCATCAGGAAGCCTCAGTCTATATGCTTAAGTAAGAGGAAGAGAGTTCTTTTCCACTTTCCATTGGCCATCAGAGAATGGAAAAGCTGCTGCCCAACAAGGCAGAAGTGTGGTCTAACAGACTCACTCAGATACCTTACTATCTTATGTGATATGGTTATCAGTTTGCAAATTGCTTTTTGATATTTGGATGTGAGCAGTACTTGGAATTGAGGTGCAGGCATAGGGTGCTTTTCCTTTATTCCTATATCATAATTGAATATTGGTCTTTTAAGGTGGAATGATCATGCTGAACATCTATTGGAACTGCAGAGATGCTCCTCCTTGGAAAGACGAGACAGCAGCCTCAATTCAGCTCAGAAGAACTAGCTCCACCAGAGGCAAAAAACGCCTGGATTTCCAGACCATACACCAAAATCTCTCTCTTGAGAGGATCAGACGCAGCCCATGAGAGGCCACTCGTGTGGAAAGCTGATGGTGCAGCTCTCTAGGAGGGTTCTGTTTGTGTAATGTGAAAAACAAGCTGCAGGTAGCTGTAGGAGTGAGACAGAAATGAATCAGGACACAGATCCTGAATACAGCATCAGAATAGTGGCAGCACACAGCCTGGCAGTACCTAGAGCACACGGAGAGAGGGACTGGATATTCATTAGACAACCAGTGCCATCTTTCTCCAGGTGAACTGGGCACTCCTGTAGCCCTGTGCATTTTAAAGGAAGCCTTTGTTTCCAAGTGCATTTGAGCTCAAATTAAGCAGTACCATGGCACTGAAACTGTTAAAAATAATAAGGTTTGGGAAGTACCACAGATGCCAAGGATAACTCCTTCCTGCCAGGTACAACGTGATGTAAATTAAAGAAGGCTGAATGACAAGTTCCAAGGCACGCTTGATTTGAGTTGCACAATGACTCCTTGCTCTCGCGGAAGTAAAGGTTTAAATATTTGTTCCTGTATCTGTTTCTGTCTGTGTACATGGATTTGGGAACGCAAAACAAACCTTCCCTGTAAGGCATGCACAGATTTTATGAGTCCTTTACAATCTAAACATTAAAGTACTTATAGCCAGTTCCGACTCAGACTTTTGTTAATGGCATGTAGCAGGTTGGTTCTGTAGAACAGCATAAGAGCTGCAGCACAGAGCGTTAAGTAGCAGTGTGCTGCTTGGAGCCCAGTAGGGTTAGACGCAGAGATAACATTGAGACCAGTTGCAACAGTTGGAAAAACGGCTTTTGTGAACAAAACTTTCAAAAAATTTCAAAAAATCTTCATTCTGTACAAGTTTTGTTCCTATCTGTCTATAATTCAATCTATTTCAACTTTCAAAGCTGAAGAGTTGATAAAATTTGTGTATGTATTACTGCAAGCAAGCTTAAAAAAAAAAATCATGGGGATCTGCTCCAAACAATTTCACATCTTAGAGTAATTTGTTAAAACTCTTCAGAGATGATATTGCTTTATGAGCGCTTTTAAAGGAACTTAATCATAGAAGTGAAAACATTTTTTCTTCTGTCCTAACATAGGGTCTTGAAAAGCTGTTGGGTTACTCATGCCTGCTGCTGAAAACTCAATGAATGACTCAACAGCGGGGAAAGACAACGGAGTCAGAACCACCCTTACCTCCCATGCATAGAGAATGTGCCTCAGCCCCAGCTGCTTGTAATCAATGAAGGGATTTTTTCTTAGATGACTGAAGGCCAGATGATAGTCAGAGAGAGCTTCTTCATACCTGCAATGCAGAAAAGACTGGTGAAACTGAGAGTAAAAAAGCTAAAGTCTCTAATTACAGAGTTCAAGAGTAAACTAGCAAAAAACAGGCACTCTGCCTAATAGCCTGCACGAGGAGAGCTGCACCAGAGATGTGTGTCATCTTGTGACCACAGAAAATTCTCTGTCCTACCCTTGTAGTTATTACAAGATGAATCTGGTGAGTCTCTCCTCCAGGATTGTCTGCATGTTTTACTGTTTGGGATAAAAGATAGGCTTTGATACCCACAGCAGTTGCATTTCCAAGAACAAGAAAATGTAAAGAACAAAGGTTTACAAATGCTGTCAGCTCCCTCCCCAGCTTGTTGCTGGCAGTTCTGCCCTGGCAACATCTCAGAGGAGAAGCAAGGGCTAGGAAACCCCTGCTGATGGTGAGCATATACAAACAGAGCACTGTTCATAGAATCATAGGATTGCTCAGGTTGGAAAAGACTTCAAAGTAAAACCGCAACTACTAGTAGAAATTTAGAGAAACTCCTAAAGCAGAGGGTTAGTCTGAATTTACACCAGCTGTCAACTGGTTCCACTGATATCACAGGCTGAGAAATGAAGGGTTTAGGAAGGGCTGTGCAATGGTCACCCCATCAAGAGGCAGAGGGGAACAGCTCTAGCCCTGGCCAAGGCACAATCATCCATGAGCATGGCTCTGCTGGTGGTGGCACAGGGCACGTAACTGCTCGCTCATCTCATTTCCAAAGGTAAAGATAGTAGTTCTGAGAATTTAACACCGAGAAAAAATGGGAAAAATAACAGGAAAGAATAACTGAAGGTCAGAATAGACCTGTGAAGTCTTCCACACACCTCTGTGAGCAGGATGTCACTGAGGTTTAACCCCAGAAACAGGGACCAATCCCATGATGATTGTGGAGCAATTCTACTGTTAAATCAGTGAGCAAGAAAAGGCTCACAGCAACCAGTCAGCAGAGGGTCAGACAGCAGGGCAGACTGTGGGCTTGGGAAGGCCAGACTTGCATGTAACATTTGAAGACACAAGAGACAGTGCAACTGTAAGTTTTTCATGGGAAAATGGCAACATAACCCTCCATCAGCCCTGCATAAGGAGTGGCTTCTTTCCTGTGTGTACAGGTGCTGCATATCAGCCACTGCTGGGGTTCTGGAGCTGCACAGCTTGCATCTTCTCCGTTCTCCTCCGTAAGTGGGAGATGAGACTTGGTGACTTGTAACATGCTTTACAAGGCCAAACCAGACCTTATAAAATGCTTAAAATTAGTAGAGGATCAAGTTTTAGGGATAAAGTTGTACTAAAAGCAGAAAACAAAAGAATGAGCAGGCAAGAATATCACTTACATTTCCAACTGCAGGCAAACAAACCCTCTCTGAAAGTAGCCGACTGCAAGGGAGTTGTCCTTTGTAACTGTTTTATCAAATGCCTGTGGAGAAAAACAGACATCTTGGGGATGAGTGAGGACTCCTCCTTCAGTGCCTGGGCATATGCCCAGCTAGGTGCAGAAGGCACCCCTGTGCTTGTGAACAGCTTGTCTGCTCCAATAAATGTGGGGCTGTGATCCAGGCCGAGGGGCAGGAGGTGGCTCCAAGTCCTCTTTCAGGTCTTGGCTCTCTGTGAGCTGAGCTTCAAGATTTTACCATTCCTTGGGAAAAAAAAGACTGAATGCAACAAATGAGCCCTGTCTGCCATCCGATGTCTTGCAACCTGCAGGCCCTGCTGCCTGGAGCAGAGCTTGATCTAACAGCAGGCTGTCTGAACCTCCTACAGTGATCTGTGTGTAAAGAGAGAAACTGAAGGCCTTCACAAACTGCACTTAAATTCAATATTTCTGCTTCCAGTTTCCAGCTGAATATCAGCAAAGCTGGTAACAGCTTGTGGCCACTCTGCTACAGAACAGTCTTTCTGAGAATCTGTCTGAGAATGCCAGGAGGCCTCTTCCCACACTTACAGCCATGTGGTAGTATGAAGACAATGAATCAAGCCCCTGGGCTTCCTTACATTGCCCTCACACAGCACGGCAGCGAAGAAAACGCGCTACAGGACCTCAGGGTGTCTGTGCCCCTTTGGCGGGGTGTCTGGGCTCCTCTGTGCTCAGCCAGCACTCCTTGCTCTGCTGTGCTGTGCTTTCAGAAGACAAAATAATCACCCAACTGTTGGTCTACACAGAAGCAAAGCCGAGCTGCGTCCCCACCAGCGCCCACTCACGGGGGCTGTTCGGAGGCTCTCAGGCACCGTCTCTCACAGGTAAGAGACACAGCTCTGCCCCAGCCCCTTCCAGCACAGCCTGAATTCCGCCTTCTGCTGTTCGAGTATCCATATGCACCTCGGCGGGCTGCTGACGGCGAGCTGTGCAGATGCCTGGCTGCTGGAAGCTGCGATGAGACTTTTTCTCAGCACTTCACGCCCGCCCCGCCGGCCCCACATCGCACCGGACGCGGCGTTCCGTGATAGCGGCTCCTCTCGCGATCTCAGCTCGTTCAGGATCGCCTGGGGACGCGCGGAGCTGCAGAGCTCGCTATTTTACACCCACACTCGTTCTCTGACAGACATCAAGACTGGTAGATTTCACCAGTTTGAGAAAGGCGTCTCGGAGGAGCGCGTGGGGCGTTTTTCCCTCACGCACCGGGTTGAGCAGAGCAGCCCGAGCCCCCCGCCCCGCGCCGCCCTCACCCGCAGGGCGTCCCGCAGCCGCCCGGCCCGCAGATGCACGCAGCCCACGTTGAAGCAGATCCTGGCCGGCGGCTCCTCGATGCCGCAGAACGCGTCCAAAGCCGCGTCCCAATCCCCGCCGTCCGCTGCCAGCACGGCTTGGTGCCAGCGCTTCAGCAGCTCCCGGTACGCCATCGCGCACAGCCGGCTCCCGCACGGCCTCACCTGCGTGCGGGGCGGGCGGGAGGCGGACAACGAGGAAGTGCTGCGCCCGGCTCCCTGCTGCCCGGGGCGGCTGAAGGGGGGCGGGATGCGGGCAGCGGGACCCCGCCACGGCCCTGCAGGTGCGAGCCCTGCTGGGTGGGGGTGTGCGGGCACTCAGGGGCCTGGCGACATTTTGGGAGAAAAGGTGAGATAAGAGGTCATAAACCCAGCAGGGGGACGCGGGCTTTGACCAAGGGAAGGTCAGAAAGCCAGCAATAAATCAGCGCGGTGAGCAGCCCCTGATGGGGCAGCTGCAGGAGTAGCACAGCCCATAACGCTGCTTTTAAAAACATTTAAATAAAGATGCGTTCTCGCTGCCGCATCGTCATTCCCATTAAGTACAGTAAATACGGTAGGCGGACGGCAGCCCCGCGTTCCGGTCACTACGGTACATCCCTCCCGCCCCACCCCCCGGGGCTCGCAGCGCTGTGCGGGTTGTGGCGCCCCCTGCCGGCGCAGCGCGTGGTGCTCACGGGAAGGAGGTCCGGCTGCGCGCGGGACCGGCGCGGGGCGTTCCGGGAGCGGCAGCGACGGGGAAGGCTTTGAGCATCGGACGCAGGGGGGGGCCTGGCGTTGCCGCTTCCGGGTAGGCGCCAGGTGAGTGGAGCTGGGTGCAGAGCGGGGAAGGATCGCCGTGTGTGTTCGTTGTCACTACAAACCAGGGTCGTGTCTCTGTTCACGCAGTAGGAAGCTGGCAGATAGTGGCTTGCAGGGTTCAGCTGCGTCAGTGACACAATCTGAACTCTGATGTTAGGGGAAGAACTGATTGGTTTTGTTTTTTCCCCTTCTAAAAGAGAACCACGTTGGAGTGGTTGTGTGCTCCTAGAGCACGAGCTCCACTTACAGCAGCTCTTCAGCAGGGTATGAAAACCCTGGAGGCCACAACAGTGTTCTGTTTCTGGAAAACAAGATCTGCAGCAGATCTGATGAGCTCGGTGTGCTCGGGAACATCCGAGAGAAGAGGAGGTTTCAGTCCCTTTGTGTAAAGCCGTGCCTATGGGAAAGTTATTTGGCAGCTGAATGTTTGTGGTCTTTCTAACAAAAGTATAATGAGATCTGGTAACTGAAAGTCAGAGCTACGCGGATTCTTTAAAATATGACACAGTTTCCAAGCAGTGGTGGAGGTTAATTACAGGAATCGTTTCTAGGAGAGGTTAAAGGTTGCCATTCACTGGAGCTTTTCAGCTGGAGTCAGATAACGCTGTGGAAAGAAGGCTTCACTGTGGGAGCTCAGGGAAGGATGCCCAGGTGGCTGGGGGGGAAATCTGCGAGTCAGCTGCTGGGACTGCTCTTACACTGCTTGTTTTCCCCTTCAGAAGAGGAAGAAGCTGCAGAAATAGCAGGATTTTCTGTGTGTTTCAGAAAGTTTTCATTCTAAATTAAGGTTGCTTTAATGTGTCATGCTTTTGTATGAACCTCCACTTTAAGGAGGAAGCATGCTTTTCTTGTGGGAGAAATTTAGCTTAAGTTAGTGGATTTCTTCCTCCACTCAATCATCAGAATTGAGTCACAGAGAACAGAGTCAGAGTTGGGCAGCTGGGGAGCTGTGTGGGTTCAGAGCATCCCTCGTTCAGTATATCCTCCACATGGAGATGACACAGCCTGCAGTCTGCTCCATGCTGGGAGTGGTTTCCAGCCAAGTCAAGTCTGACTAAGGCATGGGATGGGCTTTTCACTTCCAGAAGAGCACAGTTTTTATGCTGAGACTTCCTGCTGACACACTTTTTATCTCATTAGGTTCTTCTGAAGGGCTTTTGGATCCGTTTGTGCCCTTTTATTGTTTTGATAGGATAAGAGTGCTTCCAAGGTTATAAAAATATATTGAGTGATGGACTCGACTACTGCAGGATCTGTTGACTCACTCTGAAATTATGAAGTTTTGTTTAAAAAAATAAAAAGCTTCCCATGCTTCCATGAATACTGGAAGTCTCTTAGGCAGCACTGGGTGTTTTGGTGTTCCCTGTGGTTTTCTATGGAAACAGGCTCATGGCTGTGACAGCTTTTTGGCACAGGTGTCACTAATAGCCGTAACTTTGGTTTCCATGTTTTTTTCTCACTGTTTATTGCAAACAGTAGAGCAGGAATAATCAGAAATTTTAGCATGGGGAGCAGAACCAGCAAAACACATACCCCACAATGTAAATTAATCTGCCAGGAAACTTTGATTTGGAATTTTTTAGGCAGTAATGCTGTCTATTACAGGTAATCATGATGTTCACGTGCACAAAGTTTTGTTGCTTACAGCATAGCAGTTACAGCAAACTTTTCTCAGCTTTGTTGGGAAAGCTGAAGAAGCTGCTCTTGTGAAACTGCATCAGGACAATCAGACATTGCTACTCACAGAGGTTTGGGAGGACTAAACTGCAGCATTTCAACTGGTTCCTTTTCCACTGACACAAAGTAGTGTGAGCTGGCAAAGCTTAAGACAAACGTAACTTCTGTTGTGCTCCAAAGGCAGCTTGGAGAGAGGAAAAGGGAGGAGTGGGTGTTCTCTGTCTGTAGGCTCAGCACTGTGAGCTCTTGGCTCTGTTAGGTTGCAGCTGGGAGCTCAGAGCAGAGGCAGGTAGGTCAGCTCACAGCTGCACCAGGAGCACATCTGTACATTTATGCCCTTTGGCAGCCAGCACAATTGCTCCTGCAGTAAAATAATGTTATCCAAATTTGCACTGAGTACTTGTTGGTGTGTGCTGTATCCTGAGAGGAGTGGGGTGAGGGGACACGAGTCACCTTGTGCTAACTGAGAAGCAGTGAGTGCTTTTCTCCTGAACTAAGTTCTAATGTTTTGATACAAAGGTAATTACTGAGCCTGAGCAGTATGCCAGTGACTTCAAAATATATATATATTTTTTAATCTCTCTGAGAATCCTTGGTGCTATGCAGGCAAATATCAGCAGCACTCAGGCAGCACCGTGTTGTAATGGTGTGTGTTGGAGCAAGGGATGGCCATAAAGGAACTGAGAGGCGTGTGAGAGGAGTAGAATTGCATTAACAGAAATGAGTTATGCTGAATGCTGAACATCCTTCCATTTCCCATTCTCATCTTTTAATTGAATTAATGTCTAGTAAATTAATACAGTGTGGGAAGAACTGTGGTAGACGTCAGTGATAAAAGCCTGAAAAATTCTTATGAGAAACAATGAAAGAGGAGAGCGTGAACACCTGGGATAAGGGAAGGCTGAAGAGAAACTGCAGTTAGATTTGTATCAGAAGAGAAGGCTGGAAAGCTCCTTTCCCAGAGGATGAAAGTCTTGTTTCTTCTGTGAATACACAATGCAGGTTTAGTGTTGCAACATCAGCAAATGGCATTAACTTGGGCCTGCAAGTCAAGAGTGTTGTCCAACTGCTTGGGACTGGGAGCAGTGTGCTCTTTCCCAGCTGTGTGAATTCTTTGCTAGGTGAATTGGGGCAAAGAATGCATTATGGTCAGCAGATAATGATCAAACGTGTAATTAATTACCTCTCTTTGCCAGCCACTCACTTGAGATGACACTTTGGGCATGGTCCTTGGTGTTGGCTCTAAGCAGCAGTAGAGCTATTGGAGAGTTACAGCAATTGCTGTTTTCAAACAAATTTCTATATAAGAAAGAAAAAAACGTCTATGATGTTTTTTAGAATAACCCTCTGCAGTGTGTTCTGCAATGCACGGATAGACCGAAGAAGTTAAAGAAAGATCAAATATCCTGGAGTCTGATCATACCAGCAGCAGCTAAAAGTCCTTCAGTTCCTGCCCCGTCCCATATGAGATATGGAGTCCTGTTCCTCCTCTGAGCAGTACGTCCTGCTGGCTCTCACTGTGTGTTACCTGCACTTCTAGTTGCAACACTGCGGATCTGGAAGGAGAAAGGAATTGCTGATAAAGAGAATGCAGATAGAGATAATGGAAGAGCAGAGTAAAAGAAAGTTGGTTCTAATTTACATTATGTAAACATTTAAACAGCAACAGCACTAGAAACAGTTTTGAAAACAAGGCATGGTTGAACGGGAGCTGCTGTTCCTATCTGCTGTTGCTAGTGATGGTAGCTACCATAAAAATAAAAGCAGTGGTGTCAATGCATCGTTTTTTTGTAGGTATAGAAACCAGGTTCCCCACTGAGTGCCCAGGTCTGAAACCATCACCGTGTTTGTTCTTGGAAGCATGTTTGTACCACTACCTGTGGGATCTGCTCCTGTGCAGTTTGTGAAGTGCATCTGCTGAGCAGAGCTGTACGTTAATTCTCATTCTGTTGCCTCCCAGAGCAGGAGAGGCTGCAGCTCTGCATGGACTGCACACATTGCAACGTGTTCCTTCTCTCTTAGTTGCCCCTCCAGCTGTGCCAAGGATATCATCTGGCTTTGTGTTAAGTGCAAGTGAGTGGCTGTTGACATTTTAGAGACTTTTTTTCTGGTTAAATGAATATTCCTATTTTATAGTCAGCTAGGACCATACAATGGGATTTATTCTTGGCTGATGTTGCTCTTACCTTCAGAAGCAGAACATTTTACAGTACTGGGGCTTCCCCTGTAGGTCTGCACACAGCTGTGTGGCTCAGGTACCAGTGCTCATATTTTTCAACGAACTTCATTATTTAAACTCTTGCCGTGTGGGAATTGCCAAGGCTCATAGCAACAGTTACAGCTCAGGTTGCAAAGTACTGTAACTTTCAGTCTGTGTTATTTTTTTGTGCTTACATTTCTCATTCTGCAGCGAAACGTTCCGCTGTGTGGTTCTAAAGGCACTGCGACCGCTGCTGATTTTCATGCAGACTCACTGAGCCTTGTTTGGATTCCACGTTCGTGAAAGAAAAATCCCTTTTTCAAAACATGCAGGACACTGCCTGCCCACTGCTGATCTTTTTAATGTCAAACTCTGCCTGAACCTCCTCGAGGAATAAGCTGTTATGTCAGAAAAAGAGTTGCCTGGAACATAACAGTGCTGTGAGGAATGCGTGAAGATGTGGGAGGAGGACCTCTGCACTGCCTGGGAAGTGTTTGCTGCATTACACTGCTTCATGTGGGTTTTCTTAGATTGAACAATTGCCTGCAAGTTTTTGGGAAGTATCCCTTGGGGACTGAAGTCTCCCACTGTTACAAACTAAAGGGAAATTGGTTTGGTTTTTTGAGATGGAGAATGCCATCTTGCTTTACAGAGTAAAGCTGTGTATACGCACCAGACTGTGTCAGGCTGGTTCTTAGTAGCCATGTTTGAATGCTTTATTGTTTGGGTTTTGTGTTTTTGGTTTTGTTTTGTAATCAGTTGTTGCCCCTAGGTCATTCAGATGAATGGGAGTGGAGTTTTCCTGGCGGTGTTCTGCTCTTTAAAGTGGACAGTCAGTCTGCCTGGAATAGCACAATGGTGCCTTAAAGTTGTATAACATCTGCATGGTGTTCTTACTGTCTGTTGTGACTTTCAGATGCACGATCTGAACTTTACAGCAAAGGTGTTTGGCAAGAAGCAAAAAGATTGGCAAGTATGT